ATCTCTAGTACGAATTCATTGACACTCATGTCTCTAAATTAGCTGTCTAAATTGCTCAGACAATGGAAGCCATTAGAGAACAAGCCGACGAAGAAAAAGTTAAGAGCTTTGTAAATTAGCTGCATCCATCAAAGAAGAACTCGTGGTTTTCTCTAAACCATCTTAAAGTGAGGTTATCTTGGCCACCAAATCAGAACGAGAACATCTCTCAAAATAGCTTACAAGAGAAGGTTAAGATGAAATCGATCACTTCGAAAAACCATGAGAATTTTTGTATTCCATGCTCTATCAATAGAGAAGTATATGATTGTTTATGTAATACTAGATTTTTGGGTTAAAGTCTTATATATGGTTGAGTCTTCTGGGTTTGGCTCCTCATTTGTGTTTGCCTTACATCTATAATTTGTATTTGTTCCAATAATATCTATAATTTTATAGCATCTTCAACAAAAGATAGAACATTAAGGGTTGACACAAACGCCAAACGTAAATGAAGAGTTCTAGCGTTTGTGGTGTAATTTGCAAAAATAATTTATGGGAAACTGAAGATGTTTTATACAAAAAATTAAATGTGACCAACGATCCTTTTTAAATCACATTTACAATCGAAAAATAATAATTTTACAAGTAAAATTGGCAACCACAAATAGAAAAATTGGCATTTGAAATAATCAAATATCCAACGATCTTTTTCATGAATCGAATGAGAAAAAACGAAAAAAAAAGAAGTAGATGGCCAACTGTATCTATTATCTGTCAGTTGAATCCATCAACAGTGACAACAATTACAAGCGCACATATCTACTACAAGTATCGACAAGCAACTTTGTCGTATTCAAAATACAGATTTAAAATTCAAAATAGCATATGTTGCTTTTACACCAATAAGAGTTTTTGGAAGCATCAGGTTATGCTGATTGAAAACGCATCGAGTCAAAACTCCTCCCATTCGAGAAAGCAATGAAACATGAAGAATGCGATGTTGATGATTAATACGAAAAACAAAAATATTGAACTTTTTCATTACAATTGATAAGAGTGGTAACAACGAACAAGAACATGATTCTGAACCAATGTGACCTAAAACCATGCAAGAACCAGAGTTGCAAAGATCTATGGACTATGAAGATTGATGAATGGAAAAATCACAAAAATTAAACCCAATGTTCAACATCTACGACGACGGTCTACAGCCGAACTAGAGGGGGAGATGAGGAAAAAACGGACCGGAGAACTTACTTCCACCGACACAAAGATGTAGAAGGATCAGCAAAAGGTGAAAACTGAAGCGAGCAAGGCCATTAGCATGCTAAAGAGTAGCTTCAAATGTCCATCTAATAAAGATGTTGCAGCTGAGTGGTGTTGTTCCCTGGAACAATCACAAATGAAGAAGAGTGTTTAGATTATAATCACCAAAGGCACAGTAAGTGAGAGAGAGAAAAACTTCAGATACATACCTCTGTAAGTTCTTAAGAGCACCACAGTAAAGGACGTTGCTAGGGGGATCCATTTCTGTCTTGCCATTCTCCTCAGGGTTCATGATCCTCATATAAGTTTCTTGACCGAGATACCATCTGTCGAGATTCTCTACTCGGATGTTCCACACTCCGACGTTATCAAGGGAAATAAGTACAGCCGTCCATGCCCCTGGATACACCTAAGTTCCAAGAAAACCGAACAGAAAAAAAGAAAACCAGTAAGCAAATCTGCAGACCAGAGTAATTTGAGCTTATCTTGCAGTGTATGAACCTCTATTGTGCTTCTTGAGATAGCATCCCAGTTGTTATATGAGCCCTTTTTCTCTTCTGACCAAATACCAAAGTCCATCCTGGATAACATAGTACATCAACATCTGATTTCGATAGATATTTAAGGAGGAAGAAGATCAAATGACAAGGCGTAATGTTTTTTTCTTACCCAACAACAAAAAATGAATAGCCATCAACATGGAAGCTCTGGATCTTAGTGTCGTTGTTCTGGAAAACAACTTGTATAAAGCCCTTGTATGTTGCATTGATCATAGATATGTCCAAACGAGGAGGTCTATCAAAAGGTTTGTCAGGGAAGTCCAGCTTGTAAGCTCCTTTCACTTTATTGAGATCCGCAAGCCTTACTGGAGTGCTTGGATTCACAAACGAAATCCCGTTAAGTGTAGCACGGAGTGACCCGTTAATTGTTGTTGGAGGCAAACTTCTCAAGATGTATGTGTTTGTGATGTTTATTTGACCATAGTGAAATGAACCCTGCGGATTTGGACGAGCTCCACTAGCAGATGTGTTTTGCCTGCAAATGAAAAGAGTCAGCGTCACTGGAACAAAATCTAGTTGTGGCAGCAAGAAAGGGAACATTTATATGCTCTTGCTCCAAAGATCTCAAAAATAAACAGACCTGATGGCTCTTGGCTGGTTCATTGCTGACCAGGGGCTAGAAACGTCTGTAGTTGGAACTGGTAGAGGACCAGAAGCAGGTCCTTTGGAATTCGAATAATGGAGAACAGCGACCCCAGTGACTCTTTGCCACACTGTTTCATTCACAAATCTAGCACTGGCCACAATGTAGTAGTCACTTGCGGCATCTTGGTCCATGGTTACCAAGAAAGAATACGACTGTGCTACATGAATATCAAAATCGGTAAAGTTCGCCTGTGAGGTATAGTGACCCTCGGTTTCTACCAAAAGCAAATTGTGGTTTTGAATCCTGAAGTTCAAGCTTGTCGAGATCCCAACATTGTGAACACGGATTCTGTATGTTTTTCCTGCAAAATATAACACCCTTTTAGCATCATTGTAACAGCACAACTAACTGAGATTGGGGACCCAACGTGGGTAACTCCTCAAACAAAAATTGAGTAGGATGTGAAGAAAGTCATATGAGAAGATTCACAAGTCTCAGAGACAAAGTAAAAGCAGAATTCTTCAAAAACTCCCGACAATAGTACCTGGTTCAACATGAACGGTTAAGTAATCAATTCCATCAGGAACACTACTGTTATACTTGTAAGGACCCTTCCCATTGATGAGGACTCCATCCGGCATCCCAAGTTCTTTCCCAGAGTCAAGTATTTTCCTTAATGCCTGAAAAGAAACAGTGTTTCAAG